ATTTCTGCCATCTATTAATAATGTTTACAAATGTTCTATCATTTACTGTTCATAAGTATAGTAGGATGCAAGGCAGGAAAAAAAAAGAATAGAAATTTTTGCCTTTGGAAACTTAAAACTTTGTTGAGAGAGACTAAATTCACATCTTGAAAACATTTGGTAAAGAGAGTATAATTAAATACTCAGTTAATCCAGGGAGTGTTTTAGGAATCCAGTGGAAGGGAAAAGATCCTTGATAAAATATCCCGAAGAACAGGTAGAATTTGGATACACAGAGAAGCGGAAATGGAGGGCAGTTTCCCTCAAAAGTCTCAAAGAACAAAACTTGTATTTTTCTTCCACTCTGTTAAGAACTAGCTACACACATCAGCACTTGCCAGAAGAACTTCACAGGAAGTCTCTTTGTCAACATCTGGATGAAGATTAGAAACATAGGCACAGTCTGGGGCGAGAGAAATGTGTGTAGGGGAGAGAGGGGGTTGCAGTGTAACCAAGAAAACTAGAAAAATCAGCCAGATGGAGAAAAGCACCTTTCCTGTTGATTGGAAGGAAGAATTGGCACTGCTTCTCTTGTCCGTGGCCTTTTACTTCTGGCCTAGAGCTTGCATTTAATTTGAATTTTATTAACACAAGAAATCTAGTGCAGCAACTTGATTCTCCCCTTTCAGGGTGTTTAATTAAGGAAGTTTACACGTTGAATAAGCAGCTTTACGGAAAATGACAGGGTTTCTTCTCTCAAGTATTGGAGCTACCTAAAGAAGTAAGGGCTGGGAAGGAGGAAATGTGGGCTATGGGTAGAGAAGGAAACAACGGTCCCAGGTGGTGAAACCGTGGACATAAAAAAATGGGAAACAAAGTAAGAGTGGTCGAAAAACTGAAGCACAGTGAATGTTCTGCATTGTCTTTCAGTAACTGGCATCCAAGGTGCAGGACAGTATGCACATGCACACACGCACGCACATACCCACCCACCCAAGTGCAAAGATATACATGTGACTGTGGTTATCACAATGTTGTATTTAATAGCAACTCAGTAGGCACTATGTCTTGTAAGAAGAGAATAGTTAAAAAAACAAATAGGATAGTCGTAAAGAGAGTCAGAATATCATACATCAACTAACGTGACCTAGCCAGACATTTACTGAAATAGACAATTATTCATGACATGTTGTTGAATAAAAAATGTAGGTTGTAAAACAACAAATGAAGATCAACTGCAATTCTCTGCACAAATAAAATACATTACAGTATTAGTCCATTCAGTTGCTGATAACAGGAATACATCAGCCTGGGTAATTTATAAAAATAGGGGTTTATTTAGATCATGGTTTTGGAGGTTTGAGGCCAAAAGGCCACATCTAGGGAGGGTATTCTTGCTGGTAGAGGATGTCACATGGGAAGAGCTTGCATGTCTGAGTCAGCCTGTCTAGGTCTCCTTCGCTCTCCTTATAAACCCACCAGGATTCAATCGGGGGGGGGCCCACCCTGAGGACTGTAATCCTATTCATCTCTCAAAGTCTCCTCTTCTTCATTCTATGATCGGGTTAAGTTTTCAACCTCTTACTCCTGTTATGACCAGAAGTTTATCAAGAACTTTTGAACTCATTTAAACCATAGCCATTACTGAGTTTAATCTTCACTATAGCACATTCAACAGATTTTCTCACTTATCTTTTAGTCCAAGGTATCTGGTATCCTATTCCGGCCTTAGCAACGTGGAGCAAATGGTTAGAGAAGGGGGCTGATGGTTTGGGTAGGAGAGAACTAATATTGACTAGTTACCAGAATTGTGCTACTTGTTGTTATGGACTAAATTGTGCCTCCCTTATTCCTCACTGTCAGTCCCTTTGCAAATTTGGACCCTCCTCATAAGAGTCACCATCACAGTGTTTGTTACCACATGGCGCAGTGCAGACCGGCTACTACAATTATGAAGGCTACCATGGCCCTCTGTTTAGCCTCCCAGATCATATTTATACAAACTACTAATCACTTTTTAAAAGGATAATGAGCCTATATTTTTATTAACAGTTAGCAAAACAAAATCCAATGGTTTACAATATTTACATGTTATTTGATAAATAAAATAGTGATAAAAGCATATCACAATTTTCTTTTTTTTCTCTTTTTTAATTTTAATTTTTTTGTTTTGTTTTTTGGTAATCATTACAAAAGCCCAATCCAGGTATGGAACTGTTTAATACATCTGGAATGAGGCCAATTGAAAACAAATATAGACACAAAATGAATCTCTGCCTAGATAGTACACGCTATCCCCATTTTCTGGTTTCCACATGATGGCCCATATCCTTTAAAACATTAAATTAAACATCCTACAAATAAAAATTCTTAACAGCAAGAACATAAAAGAAGAACATGTTTTTTAAGTAAGTACTTATTTCACAAATGCAACATCTTTCCATGGATTTGATTTGAAACTGTTTGGGACACTGTCATCTCAGCAATTCCTCTTCCCTTTCTTTTCTCCCCCCTCCCCCAACCCTTCCAAGTAAAAATAGAACAAACATGAAAACCAAAGGGCTCACCCGCACATATGTGTGCACACATATACACACACACATGCACACACAGGCTTCTAAAACCTAGGCTTCAACAAAAGTTCTATTCAACTTTTTGGAATGAGACCCTTTGTTCACAAGCATAACATACTATAAATGCAGACTTAGATTTTGTCTAAGCTGCTCCCTCCTTACAAAGTTAATATGGGGAGGGACCAGCAGTTAGCATAATGCCTGTGTTGCTGGACTCCCATGTAGTCAACCACGGTTCGCGTACTGGACCCGGTGGCTTAAATTCACACTGGGCACGTGTGCGTGCGAGCCCAAGATCCTGAGAGGAGAATGGAGGAGACGGGATTGCGGCGTGGCCAACCCCCCTGGGGGGGTGATTTCTCGCTTTCTGTCTCTCTGTTTCTCTCTGTCTGGCGAGCACACGCGCCTTATAGCTAAAAACCTCTCCAAAAAAAAAAAAAAAAAAAGTTAATATGGGGAAACAGAGTAGTTGGCAGTTATATGAAAAAAAAAAAAAAAAAAGTAGTTCTCAGGCTCCTTGTAGGATATATGTTATTTCTTGTTCACTCTCAAGGAATGGGATTCTAACACATCCCCTTGTCTCCCTCTCTCCCAAATAAATGAGAATCCCCCGTAAAACACAATGCAAACAAAAAGAGAACACAGATTCTAAGATCACACATGGGAAAGCCAATCCGTCCTACCAGAAATTGTGTGAGACAGATAATGTGTTAATTTGACAAGCAACGAAAGGATGAAGAAGACCTCCTTGTCTGGCCCACAGTTGCATAGCTGTGCCCAAAATTTGGCTCTTCAGTTAAATAAAAAAAGAAAGTTAACTTCTTTGTTATTTTCATGTTTAAAATAAAAATATTCCTATTCACAAAAAAAAACAAAATCTCTTTTGCCCCCAAATCAAAACAACAATAGCACACGCACACAAAACAGTGTATATGGAAAACTGAATTGTGCCCTGTTTGTAACATTCAAATTGATAGAAAAATAAACATGAGGCAAATGAAACTCCATAATCACCTTAAAAGAAGCTCACATGAATCTACCAAATTCTCAATTATAGTTGAACACTAATACACAGCTCACCCGGAATAAAGGATGACACTTCAGAAACGATTATCTCATAATTAAAGTCTGTTTCTTCTTTTTTTTCTTTTTATTCTACTAAAATAATTTTTAAAAATCACAGTATTTTAAGAAATAAAACCCACATGGGGATTTCAAGCACAATTTGTGTTCCTTTCTTTAACATTCTTTTTTTTTTTTTTCTCCATTCACCATCTTGCCCAGCAGTTCTCTCTACCTTTAACCACAACAACCACAGGTAGTACTGACAAATGCAGAGAATTCCCTTGGTTAAGTTTGAGGTACTAGGAAACAAGTGACTGTTTTATGTAAAGCAGTTTTTTTGTTTTTGTTTTTGTTTTTGTTTTTCTTTTTTCCCAAAGTGGCTGTGGTTAGGTCTTGAAAAAGCTTAAGGTATTAAAGCTAGAAAAAGGCACCAAAAGTTGTGCATCAAAAAGTTGTTCCCTAGGAGAAGTCCTCTACTGTCACGGAGCTTCTGTTTCCACATACTTGTCCAAGACCACCCCGGAGTGCACCGTGCCCATGGGAGGTGCCTCCGTATATTCCGCAACAAATGAAACTTCCATGATGAAGATCCAGAAGGAAAGATGTAGTGATGGAAAAGCAGCCACATATTCCAATCAGTTAAACAATTTTAATTTACATACTCCCTCACACAGGTACCGGTGCTTTGAAAATAGATTGTTCAGTTCTAAAAAGCAGCTTTGTTCTTTCCTCTCTTTTCTGTCCTTCCCTTCTCAGCCCAAGCTGGCCCTCCCATTTTTTCATCATGGCTCAAGTAAGGTTTGATTAAGAATATCACCAAACACTGACTTGTTTTTGGCCTCTGCGGTCTCCAGGAGAGATTTGTCAGCAGCTACTACACAGATGGCTACTGTTTTGTTCTTTAGGCAAAAGTCTAGCTCAATTGCCTCACCATCTTCTTTTTCTTCTATGGAGGGCATCTTATCACCATCCTCCACGATTATCTTTTGGATAGATTTCTTCTCTGCTCACCTGCTTGGTATCATTCAATGCCATGCCGTGTCATAGCACACGTCTTTCCCATTAAGAGCCCTGTGAAAATACCCATCCACAAAATTCACATGGAAAACGCTTCTCAGTGTTAATAGCAGCCCCCGGTCAGAAAATCTCATCAGCTCTCTGTCTTTCACCTGGCTGTTCATTTCCTCTTCCTTGTCCTCATCCTCACTGCTGGAACTCTCCATTTTTTCCTTCATCAATTTCAGCTGATCCAAGATAACCCGTCTGACTAGCTCAAAGTTACGGCTTACTTTATGCTCATCCCGAAGGTGGCTGTCCAGTTCTTCTGTGTGCTTGGTCTCGTAGTAGCAGAGCTGGCATTTGTAAAGTTTCAGTTCATTGTGCAAAAATATGCAACGCTTCATGAATGTGTGTGTCATCCTTGTGCAGGGGCCCTCCAAATCTTCTCTGTATTATTCCATATTTTTTTTTTGGAGAGATTTTCACTGTAGGGCGCGTGCGCTCGCCAGACAGACAGAGAGAGACATAGAGACAGAAAGCGAGAAATCACCCCCCAGGGGGGACGGTCACGCCGCAATCCCTGTATTATTCCAATTTTAGTATATGTGCTGCTGAAGCAAGCCCCAAACTTCTATTCATCTTGTGAACATTCTTGGCTTTAGTTTGGGATTTGCTGGTTTTGTTTTTGTTTTTGTTTTAGTTTTGCTTTTGCTCCTGACATTTTTGTTGTCTTTCTTCCCCTCATTCCTACTAAAACTGAAAATGGCACAAGGAATAGCTATTTGCATTTCATAGCACATAATAATTACTAATTTAAGCAAAGTCTTCCTCTTAATTTATATTTAGCCTCATATTGACTCTCTTTTACCCCACTCAAATGCCACACACTAATATCTTTACTCTGAAGAATGAAACATATATCCTTGAAATAGTTTTATTTTGCATGTACATTTTTAATTTACATAAATGGTTTTATATTAATTCTATTTTCTTTTAACCTATTTTTAATTGGTAGCATTCCCCTGTGATGTCTTTTCCAACTTTTCTATTTTTTCCTTCACATTTTGTGCCCTAGGGTGCACGTGCTCATGGGAGAGAGACAGTGAAAGGGAAAATGAGAAATCGCCCCCACAGGGGATGGCCATGATGTGATCCTTTCTCTTCTATTCTCCTCTTAGGATTTCGAGCATGCATCCACATGCACCTAGTGTGATTCTCAAGCTACTAGATCCAGGACTGAGACCATGGTCGGCCATGTGGTAGACTAGTGCCCTAACCACCACACCCCCTGCTGGCCCACGGCCTTTTACTCTATGCTTTTAAATTCTTGTGCAGGATCTTACTACCTATGTTACTATTAGATTCATAATATACTTGCCTTATATTGTTCTCCCTTCTAGCTGGAATATAAGCTCCTTGAGGAGAGGAATACTATAGTATTTTCTCAGCACCAGACTGTTTTTCACATATTTCTTAATGCATTCATATTAAATAAATGAATGTAAACACCCATGGAAATCAAGCAGCCAATTTATGTTTCCAGTTTTTTTCATCTGCAACATATCTTCTCCTAAATGAGAAATTGGCCCACACACCTCATGAAAACATTTTACATTCTGCGCCTCTTCTAGGTAAAACCAAAAAATGTGGCTCAATATTGCAAAACCAGCGAGGTTCTTGGTGGTTCCATGAATGCAAATAGATGTCTCCAAAAGGAGGTCAGCTCTGAGAGCTCACCCAAAGAAGGCCTGCCAGATTGGGACAAGTGAGGGACTGCATCCAAGAAGCCTGGGAGAAAGCTTTTGGGGAGGAATTAAAGAAAAGTTGAAGCAGAGGCAGAAGAAAATCTACCAAAGAGCTCAGGTGGGTAGTTGGTGACATTTGGGTGGTTGCAGAAAGCAGGCAATGTTTTGGACCTTAATATTCCACCACCTTTATGAGAGAAAACAAAGGTGATTATACTAGAGAATTCCAATGAGCCAGTGCTCAGCCCAGAGTAATACTGACCAGATCGAGGGCATTGTCCTGCCTCAGAAATGCACCAACAGAACAAAGGGGGAGGATTACCGGAGCCAATATGCTTTTTGTTAAATTCTTGTATCGAATCCAGAGTTGCTCAGGGAATAAAAGCTCAGTTTTCTAATGCCAATGTTCAATTTTATCCAAAACTTAGGATGTTATTTTCTTTTCATTTCTATCATTTATTGGCTATGTGATTCTGTAAGCCTCCCATTCCATGTGGGTCTCAGTGACCTATGCTGGGAAATGGGGTTATTGTACTTACCACACCTCTCTCCTTTTAAAGATACATTGGGGAAATTAATTGGAAAATGTAAAAGAAAGGTCCATCTTTTAGTCCCTTAGAGACAATCTAGCATTACAATTGATCACCTAGGTGATGATTCAAGCCATTCAGTCCTTGTCGTTCTCTGCTCACTTCTCTTCCAGCTTGCCTCTGAAAGAAAACCAGCTAGTTAAAGCATCAGCTGGAACCCTCTCAGCTCTCAATGACTGCAGAGTGAAATATAGCTTTCAGCATAGAAAATGTCCTTCCAGTGCTCCAATAAATAGCATTCAGTTTTCAGCCCCAGGGAATTTACTGTAGCCCTAGTTACCCCTCACTGCCATAGCCACCATTCCCTATTGGGCAGCAGAAGTGATTTATGGAGGTGAGTAGCCATTGCAAACTTTAATTAAGCACATAAAGAACCATCAATTTTTTAAAGGGCACCAACCCAGAAAGATGAGAGCTGAACTCCTGTGGAACACTAATTGCCTTTCCAACATTTTACCTTGTCTCCTTGTTTTTCTTCAAGTTGAGCTGACAGACAGTCAATCAACCACCCCCACAGGTGAGTTCTACCCACCAAAAGTCCTGGCTATCTGAAATACTGCTCCAGGGACCTGCAAACTTCCTTCTCGACCCTGTTGCAAATCTTCCTCTCTTTCTCTTCTTTGTAATACAATCTCTTGGCTGCCATGGCAATAGAAACCATGGAAATGTACAGGTAAATAATTTTCCTTTTGAGTAAATATGAATTCCAATGACACAGAGCCAGATCCTCTCTAGCGTCCTAACTGCTGCCCTGAGAGGAGATTACTCACAAATACTGTAGCCAAACTGCTTGCCAAATCAGTGAGTCTTTTTGTTCATTCTCTGTCTTGGTAAAGAGATTGGATTGAAGGACAAATGGGGGGGTGGGAGCAGGCAGGAGCCACACATCTCAGTAAATGGGAGCTTATCACATTCTAGGGCACCAGGTGTCCACACTGTAATGGCAAACACTTGCCTCCATCTATGGCTCCAGGAGAGAAATTGAAGAAAAGAAGAACAGGAGAAGCTGGATGCTTGGTGATTTCGGAGTCCAGCTACCACATAAACGAATATTAGTTACATGTCAGCGGGACAGACCTGGGTGTGAGGTAAGTGTTAAGAGAGTTCTCTGTAGGTAAGAAGATGGTGGGTATCTTAGATAGGGTATCACTGATTTTTATTTTTTCTGGAGAGCACTCTGAGGCCAATATAAACCTGAAGACCTCCTGGGATAGTCACATCTATTATGGTGTCTATACCTTGCTTCAAAGCACACTTCGGCATGTGCTAAACTTCAGCATAGACAGTGTAAGGTAATGCACAGTCCAGTTGAAGGTTCATCTCTCTGGCCTGTTGTTTCTTGAGTCAAGAATTTATGCTCAAAGATGGCTAGCGTGTATCATACCACAAAGGACCACATTCCAGGGGCGGTTACTCTAAGCACTTCTGCTATTTTTGCTCGCTCAGTAGCCAATGGTTTCCTATCAACACGCTAAATGCAAGAGTTTTAATAGCAAAAAATAGTAGTTTTTGACCAGTCTGATAAATGGTCACCATAGTTTCTCTGGCTTGGTTTTTGAATGACTCTACAACCAGGGCCTGATTATAACAACACAGGTAAGGCGACTGTGGTTCAAAATTGCAGGAAGCATTTTCATGGTGGTGCAAGTTCAGGGCAGGGAGAACCTCAATGAGTAGCTTCCTAAATATGCTTTGCCTGCCTCACGCTCATTTCTCCCTGGGCTGCCATCTGTTTAGAAGCTTTTCTGATTAAATGAGGCTGACTCTAAGCCACCAAATCCTGTCTCTAGAAAGTTGCTGCGTCTGCCACAATTGAACCTTTCATGTAATGTGTGGTCAGAGCATTTCAAAGGACACAGCTCTGGAACCTCTAAAAGCTTAGAGGACAGTTTTTATCAGCTGCTTTTCTTTTTTCTTTTTCTTTTTTTTTTTTTTTTAAATGGTCAGAGGGCACATACACTTGCCAGAGAGATAGAGGGACAGGAGAGGAAAACCACCTCCTATGGGAAATGGTCACACTGCAATTCCTTAATCCCTTCTTTTCCATTTCTCTTGCCTTTCAGGATTTGGGGTACACACACACACACACACACACACACATGCATCCAGTGTATTTTTTAAGCTGTTGGGTCTGGAACTGCTGGGTTGACCATGTGGGATCCAGCTGCCTAACATCCAGGCCACATAGCCTGCCCAAGGCATCATTTTTAAATGATCAGATAATAGGATCAGAAGGTGGGATAGCTAGTCCTCCCATTGTTTGTCTAAGACCCTAACAGCTGTGCCTGATGATAATAGCCTTCCCCTTGCCCCCCTGCCATGCATGCTGCCATCCTTGAGCACTTCGTTGCAGACAGTGGACAAATGAAAATCACCACTAGCTCATTGGATGAGGTTCACTTCAGCTCTGTCGTGCCCCTGACCTGGAATTAACAGTGGGGGCTTGACTGATTAAATGTGTTGCTCATGTTGACATTTCTCAACAAAAGAAAACTTAGGAGAATATTAAACCAAACAAAAGTGGTTGGTTCATATAGAGGACTTATTAGCTCTTTTCCCGAATCTGAACCAATGACAGGCACTAGACCCTCTCTGGCCTCAAAAACATCTGACTGAGTAAAGAATAGTGGTTTTGATAAATTTATTGTATTTGTGGCTGAACCAATAACTGATAGGGCACAGGCATCAGAGTCACCGCCATCCTAATCTCAGCCTTAGGAAAGTGTCATAGAGCTGTGCCTCCTAATGTACTCTCTGCTTATGCTTCTCTCATTCTCTATTGTTAAAATGCTCTTTTGGTAGTGACTGGGCCCCCAGAAGGGGTCCCTTTCTAGTCTGTTAGGAGTCAGCCTCAGATACCAGTTAGTCATCAATTTATGGAAGGACTTAGGAGAAACTGGAGACTACTGGACAGAAAAATCACCAACTTGACTACCTGCTACCTTTCCCAAGCATTTACGGGAACCCTGCTTCTACGTAATGTCTTATGTAGTAATGAGAACCCTCTGAAATAAGGCTCGCCCAGCAGCACTAACACTCTACTCAAGCAATGCAGGTTCGTCTGGAAGATCACAGGTTCAGTTCCCCAGTTGACCCATATATGTTGGGCACACTTGCTAGGAAGGCTATGGGGGATGGAAGCATGAGACCC